ATAATATTATAAAATTATTATTATTATTAAATTCATAATTTCATATTATTATTTAATCATAAATTATTAAATATAGATATATAATAAGTTTGTTGACTTTTATAATAAATAATTATTGCTATTAAATTATAATTAATTAACACTATAAAAATATTTTACAATTTTAATACATAATTATTAAATTTACTATATTGCTCTTTTTTCTATATATATAAGACTCAATTACTTAACTTATTAAGATTAAAAAAATAATTAATTTAATTGATAATAATAAATTTATCTTATTTTTTATGTTTATTTTTCTTAAAATTATTTTTATATTAATTCTTTTTCTTAATTAATGCTCTTATAGTAATTTTATCCTTCTTCTCTCTTAATTAATACTTATCTTTTTTTCTAATCAATTAAAACATATGTTTTTAAAGAGTTTATAATAATACATTTTATCAAATTAAGAAAAAAAGTTTTAATTATAAATATTTTAATCTAATAAATATACATATATATATATAGATATATATATATATGACTTGTAATGGGATAATATTATAAAATTATTATTATTATTAAATTCATAATTTCATATTATTATTTAATCATAAATTATTAAATATAGATATATAATAAGTTTGTTGACTTTTATAATAAATAATTATTGCTATTAAATTATAATTAATTAACACTATAAAAATATTTTACAATTTTAATACATAATTATTAAATTTACTATATTGCTCTTTTTTCTATATATATAAGACTCAATTACTTAACTTATTAAGATTAAAAAAATAATTAATTTAATTGATAATAATAAATTTATCTTATTTTTTATGTTTATTTTTCTTAAAATTATTTTTATATTAATTCTTTTTCTTAATTAATGCTCTTATAGTAATTTTATCCTTCTTCTCTCTTAATTAATACTTATCTTTTTTTCTAATCAATTAAAACATATGTTTTTAAAGAGTTTATAATAATACATTTTATCAAATTAAGAAAAAAAGTTTTAATTATAAATATTTTAATCTAATAATAATTAATATATAAAATAATATAAATTAAATATTATATAAAATAACAAATGATTATTTTAAATTAAATCTTACAGATAGGAAGAGTGATATAAAAATTCTGATCATTTAAATATACAACTCGATTATATAAATAGAAAGAGTGATGATCCAAGTATAGAACTCCATTTAATATAAAATGTATATAAGTCAAATGATTACAATTCCCATTTCCAAGAGGGTTTCCGGGTCAAATTGTGACGCCCAAACAATGAATAATAAATCCTCTCAGCAGACTTTCTAGAAGACCATCCATCTATTAATGCCAATTATTCACCTATACACACACACGCAACTTTTAATATATGACATTTTTTTAAAGGAATATCATATTTTAATGGGTATTCAACCGTTTTACATCTTAACATTAGTGCCATATTATCTATTTTAAATTTTAATTTTTTTTAAAATTTATTCTTAATTATTGTTTAAAATGTCTTGTATGTGTATTTTATGAATATTATTTTCTTCATTGATACATTTTTTTAATCCCAACAAACTCTCCATTCCTATCTCTCACCAAATGACTTTTCTTCCCCATTCCACAGAAAAACAGAATAAAGTAGTATTAATGTTAGAATCAATCAAGTCAAAGACATCAACAAAACGTTTTATTATCTTCATCTTTTTCTCTCTCACATCTATTAGTATTTTAAAACAGCATTAATTATTTTTCTTACTTATGCTTTTATTAAAAATAATACCACATGAAATGTTAAAATTAATATCTATACAGGGTCTTGTTTATACAACAAATTATACTTTTTAATAAAAAGGTTTCTGTTTTAAATTTTTTAACAGGTATTCTAAGGACTAGTTAGCATTTTCAATATTCTATTATATTTATTTTTATTTCATGATAAATACATAATAAATATAAATGTGCAAATTAATAAAACATTAGTTACAAAATAAATATATAATTAATAAACTACAAATCTCACTTGCAATAGTTTAATCATTTTTGTCCAAATTTTTGTAGGCAGTAAATATCAAATTAAGAATAGATTAAATGAGAGTTAGTTGAACTTGACAGTGTGAGTGCAGAACCATTTTACCTTTTTCTATGCACAAGAAATTAATTACTACTTTTCTTCATTAACTACACATAAAAGCACATCATTAATTTAATTAATTATGTGTTTCTAGACACCTATGGTGACGCCACCTATTACGACTAATTCTTCAATAATCCTCTTCCTTGAATTTCCCTTGGTAGACTCACCCTCCTTCTTCTTCTTCTTCTTCTTCTTCTTCATTCTACAACGTCTTTGACCTTAAACTTCTTCCTTGCCAAGCCAACACGCTTCTTATTTCCTTTCTACAATCAAAACAACACACCTTTCTTATATCTTATATCTAAGTTCAGCTACCCTTGTCATAGTTTTCATCATTAAACTGCTTCATACACACATATTTGTTGCACTTGCACAACCACAACAAAAGTTAGTTAGTTACTGCCTTCACATGTTTTCATTGTTGGTTGATGAATCATGGGTTCCAAGAGGCCACTTGTGATGACATCAGCTCCTGATAATAACTACCAACAGGACCTGCCCATTACTCCTGAACTTCCAAAATCAAAGTCAGGTTCCAGCAACGTTTTCAACCCACTTGAGAACACTCTCCACTCGTCATCACACAGAAGTTCCATGTCCATTCACTCTTCTGGGAGCAGGAGCAACAACTCTATCCTCGAAGTGAGTTTGAGCCGTTCAGGATCCAAAGCCAGACCTGTTAGATATGGCTCAAAGGGTGCAGATTCTGAAGGACTCAGCATGTCACAGAGGGAACTCAGAGATGAGGATGCAAGGTTAGTGTATATAAACGACCCTGGGAAAACCAATGAAACGTTTGAGTTTGGAGGAAACTCTATCCGCACATCAAAATACTCTGTCCTCACTTTCATCCCAAGGAACCTGTTTGAACAATTCCACAGGGTTGCTTACGTGTACTTTCTCATTATTGCCATTCTCAACCAGCTTCCCCAGCTTGCGGTGTTTGGAAGAGGCGTTTCCATTTTGCCACTGACTTTTGTGTTGTTTGTGACAGCTGTGAAGGATGTGTATGAGGATTGGAGGAGGCACAAGAGTGATAGAGTTGAGAACAACAGGTTGGCGTCGGTTTTGGTTGATGGGAAGTTTGAGGAGAAGAAGTGGAGGGATGTTAGAGTTGGTGAGGTGATAAGGATCAAGGCAAATGAACCCATCCCTTGTGATATTGTGTTGCTCTCAACTAGTGATCCAACTGGGGTTGCATATGTGCAGACTATTAATCTTGATGGGGAGTCAAATTTGAAGACTAGGTATGCAAAACAAGAGACACATGGCAAGGAGGGGTTTGGTGGGGTGATCAAGTGTGAGAAGCCTAATAGGAACATATATGGATTTCTGGCTAACATGGAGGTTGATGGCAAGAAGTTGTCACTTGGATCATCCAACATTGTGCTTAGAGGATGTGAGCTCAAGAATACTAGTTTGGCAATTGGGGTTGCTGTGTATTGTGGGAGTGAGACCAAGGCCATGCTGAATAGCTCCGGAGCTCCTTCTAAGAGGAGCAGGTTGGAGACACGCATGAATTTTGAGATCATTTGGCTCTCTTTCTTCCTTGTGGCATTGTGTACTGTCACCTCAGTTTGTGCTGCTGTGTGGTTGAAGCGCCACAAGGATGAGTTGAATCTGTTGCCTTATTATAGGAAACTGGACTTTTCAGAAGAGGGGGAGGTGGAAAACTATAAGTACTATGGATGGGGGTTGGAAATTTTATTCACATTCCTCATGTCAGTTATAGTATTCCAGGTCATGATTCCCATTTCATTGTACATTTCCATGGAGCTTGTTAGGGTTGGTCAGGCCTACTTCATGATCCGGGACAACAGAATGTATGATGAGGAAACCAAGTCAAGGTTCCAGTGCAGGGCTTTGAACATTAATGAAGATTTGGGGCAGATTAAGTACGTTTTCTCAGACAAAACTGGCACACTCACTCAGAACAAGATGGAGTTTCAATGTGCAAGCATCTGGGGGGTTGATTACAATTCTACAAAAGACAACATGGAGGGTGAGCAAGTTGAACATTCTGTGGAAGGTGAGAATTGTTTTATTAGTCCATTCTAACACACACTTTTTTTTAGCATTGCCTTCACTTCATCCTGGTTTTGTTAGTTAGTGAAATAATGTAACATGTTTCTTTTGTGTCATTATGTGCTCAGTGGATGGAAAGGTCATCAGACCAAAGATGAAGGTGAAAGTTAATCCAGAGCTTTTGCAGCTATCAAGAAGTGGACTTCAAAATGTGGAGGGAAAACGGATTCATGATTTCTTTCTAGCACTGGCAACCTGCAACACTATTGTGCCTCTTCTTGTTGACACACCGGACCCTGATGTCAAGCTGATAGATTACCAGGGAGAATCACCGGATGAACAAGCATTGGCTTATGCTGCTGCTGCCTATGGTTTTATGCTCATAGAGCGAACTTCGGGCCATATAATCCTTGATATTCATGGGGAAAGACAGAAGTAAGTTGAACTTTTCTTTTATTAACTCTTTTCTTTTTCTTTCTCTTCCCTGGCTCTGTAGTTATGATATAGGAGTGCACATAGTATCTTTACTTATCTTGATGGTTAGCTAATTAACATGAGATGAAACCCTCTTTAATGTAGTACAATGGCTATTATCCTTTTTTCTAATGAATCTTCCCATTATGAGTGTTGCAGGTTCAATGTCTTGGGTTTGCATGAATTTGACAGTGACAGGAAGAGGATGTCGGTTATATTGGGGTACCCTGACAGTTCTGTGAAAGTTTTTGTCAAAGGAGCAGACACATCCATGCTTAATGTGATAGACAAGTCATTTAACATGGACTTAGTAAGAGCCACCGAGGCACATCTTCACTCTTACTCTTCCATGGGTTTGAGGACACTTGTTATTGGCACGAGAGACTTGAATGCTTCAGAATTTGAGAAGTGGCATTCAGCCTTTGAGGCAGCAAGCACTGCTGTGTTTGGCAGGGCTGCGCTGCTCCGCAGGGTTTCTAGCATTGTAGAGAGCAGTCTCAGCGTATTGGGAGCATCAGCCATTGAAGATAAACTGCAACAAGGTGTGCCTGAATCCATTGAGTCTCTAAGGATTGCAGGCATTAAAGTGTGGGTTCTGACTGGGGACAAACAAGAAACTGCCATATCCATTGGCTACTCTTCAAAGCTCCTAACAAGCAGAATGACTCAAATTATAATCAATAGCAAAACCAGAGAATCATGTAGAAAAAGTTTGGAAGATGCCCTTGTCATGTCTAAAAAGCTCCTGTCCTCATCTGGGGTTGCCAACGATGCTGGAGGAAGTTCAGATGCAACTCCAGTAGCTTTGATCATTGATGGTACCAGTCTCGTGCATATTCTTGACAGTGAACTCGAAGAACAGGTTAGTTTAGTGTCCTAAAATCTTGGTTGGTGTTCACAATGTACTTTATTTCTTGCTGATCTTGGCTATTTCTGTTGATTCAGCTATTTCAACTTGCAAGTAGATGCTCTGTTGTTCTATGTTGCCGTGTTGCTCCACTTCAAAAGGCTGGGATAGTTGCCCTTGTGAAGAATAGGACATCTGACATGACACTAGCCATTGGAGATGGTAATTGATTAGTTTAAATTTGTCTTTCCCCTCACAAATTTGATAGCAATAGAAAATACTGAGCAGTTTTTTTATTGGTTTGATTTATGTTGTGTGATGCAATGAATTCATTATGCATGTGTTACATTACAGGTGCTAATGATGTCTCAATGATCCAAATGGCTGATGTTGGAGTTGGCATCAGTGGACAAGAGGGTCGGCAAGCTGTAATGGCATCTGATTTTGCAATGGGGCAGTTTAGGTTTTTGGTTCCTCTCTTATTGATACATGGACACTGGAATTATCAACGGCTTGGTTACATGATACTATACAACTTCTACAGAAATGCTGTCCTTGTTCTAGTCCTATTTTGGTAAGTAATAATCTAACAGAAATACTGTGTGCGTGTGCGTGTGTTGTGGTGTGTATGTGCGCTCGTGTGTGCGCTATTTGATTGTACAATTTCAAATTGTGTGCATGTGTGTGCTGTTTGATCATACAACTTCAAATTGTGTGTATGTGGGTGTGCGCGCATGTGTGTGCGCTATCGCTGTTTGATTATACAACTTCAAATTGTGTCACAAACTTCACCTTCAAAAGTTTTTGTTATTACCTTCAAAAGTTTTTGTTATTGGCTGATGTGCTTTGAAGCCTGTTATTCATTCAACCAATCCTATGATTGGAAAAAATAAATATGGCCTTTGTGGTGGCTTTTGACTTGTTCAATTTTCTTCTAAAATTTGATAAATAATTGTATTTTGCTTCTCTTGGCTGTTAGATGTATTCCTCCAGATCTTAACATGTTATTATTTTGTTATGTGCTTGTATTTTCAAGGTATGTGCTCTTCACTGCCTTCACTTTGACAACCGCCATAAATGAATGGAGCACGACGTTATATTCAATAATCTACAGTTCATTGCCAACTATAATTGTTGGTATTCTAGACAAGGATCTTGGTAGAAGGACTTTGCTAAAGTATCCTCAACTTTATGGGGCAGGACAGAGACATGAGGCCTACAACAAGAAATTGTTTGTGTGGACAATGTTAGATACTTTGTGGCAAAGCTTGGTTATCTTCTGGGCTCCCCTCTTTGCATATTGGAGTAGCACAGTTGATGTGGCAAGCATTGGAGACCTTTGGACTTTTGGAGTTGTTATTTTGGTTAATTTACACTTGGCCATGGATGTCATAAGGTGGTATTGGCTGACCCATGTTGTCATTTGGGGTTCTATTGTTGCAACTTTCATTAGTGTCATGATCATTGATGCTATCCCCAATCTTCCTGGCTACTGGTATGAACTATACTTTTGCTTTCTTAATTTTTATACCATAAATCTAATGTACTATGCTTGTTCTACAATTTTGCTGAATGTATCAATGATTATTGTTCTGCATGCTAGATTTGCCTGCATACCTTCCAAAGGAATATACATATATTCAACGCCAACATCTAATGTTAAGGATCTGTTTCAATAAATTGCTTTATAAGCACTTGTAGGAGAAAAAAATATGAAGAAAAATCCAAATAAGCTTCTCCATAGGTTAAAGTTCATAGGAGAAAACTTTGAAAAATTAGTTTATGCACAAGCTAATTTTAGTTTACGAAGAAGTTTATTTCATTTTTTCTTTTCTATTTTGCTCTTTTAAAAGTACTTCTGATAATGTTTACTCAAACTGACCCTAAACCTAATAAAATACATCTTGCATTGCAATTGTTAGTCCTCTGTGTGAAAACAATAATCATGGTTCTGAGTCATTTACATAACAGATTTCTGTATTTGTCTTCGAAACTAAACATGTTAATTATTTTACTACCTCAGAAGTCAGAAGTAGAACAAGGCTAAAGAAAATTTTATGAGAACCATTAAAAAATATCTTGATCTAAATGGTTCATATTTGGTTTTAAATGACAGTGTAATTTGATCCATGTGACCGACCACAACTAGTGGGATAAGACTTTTTCTGTTGTTGCTGTGTTCTATTAATCATTGAAAAAAAAACCATGTCCAATTCATAAGATATTCTATGTTGCCATATTGTGTGTATTAGATTTGAAAACCTTTGCAACCCTGCATTGCTTTTGCTTCTGTATATAAAGACTAACCTTTGCATCTTCATAACTTTGCAGGGCCTTCTTTCATGTTGCAGGAACTGGATTGTTCTGGTTATTGTTGCTTGGAATCGTGATAGCTGCATTGCTTCCTCGTTTGGTTGTAAAGTTTGTCTATCAGTATTATTTTCCTAATGATATTCAGATTTGCAGAGAAGCCGAGAAGATTGGATATGAGAGAGTAGTTGAAAGTGGACAGATAGAGATGCTTCCTATCTCAGACAATCCACCAAGATAAGAGAAGTGATATTTTGTCTTTTTATTTTTTAATTTTTTTTGTAAAGTTGCATATTCTTTAGGCTACTTGAGAGTATTTGTGTTTATTCCCGGATTTCATTGGTTCCTATCCGAAGGATAGAGGTTTTGTTATCACTGCAGAGTGCAGAGGTTTGTTGAATCTTCATTCTTTTGTACCATAAACTTAGCATGTTGTAAATTAACCTTGATTAAATTTAAAGAAGAAAAAGAAACAGTTGATTACATGTTACATATTAAATTTTTTACACGAAGGGTTGAATTCTTTGCCTCCTTGATGATGTTGAACTTATCATTTCAGCCTGCTGAGTTCATTTTTTGTTCGGTTCAATTACGTTATTTATTCATTAGTTGTGGAATATTATTATTACATGTAGTAACTAGTAATATGTTGTAGGAAGCTTTTCAAATTATGCTGGCCTAAGCCTTCTATTGAGGCAGGAGCATGAATAATAGTGTTGGTTTAATTGGTAAAGACAAAAAAACTTTCTTGACGGGCTTAATTTTGATTCTTCCTATACTCATAACATTATAATTGTTATCAACAAGTGGTTGATCTAAATAGTGATGAATTGGAGTCCCTTAACCAACTAGTTTGAGATTCGAATCCTCACTCTTTTGTATTAAGAAAACCTGGTTCGGAAGGGCAAGATAGCTTTGAATGACTTCAAATCTTCTCAAACTTTGCAAATCATGTGCATATCAAAACTAGATTAGAAAACCTTGCTTTCCTATGAACTTCATTGTACAAAATAATATATTACTTGTAATAAAAATCTTGCTTTATTATTTTTGTCATTACCTTATGTCAAGGTATATAAATATTCGGAACTTGTTAGTCAACCCTTATAATTATGTTTAAATTTGGGGATTATATGATCAAAAATAGGTATAGAAGTAAGAACAATTTTCACTTTATAAATTTTGTAAAGTTGAGTTAAATCATAGCCTATATTACTATCATATTATAGTCTATCACAATGATTATTTTTTAGTCTTGACATTTTTTAAAATTTAATTTGACATATTGACTTATTTAAAAAATTTAATTTATATTAACAATACTAAATAGTCTAATAAACTTAATTTTGAATTATTCAACAAATTTATCTTTAAATAGGCTAACAAGTCTTTTTTTCCTTTCAATTTGCATGATAAAAAAAAGTGATGTGCTCAATTACTATTAAAATTCAATTTTTAAAAAGATAAAAACTAATATACTAGATAATAAGAATTTTCAAAGAACTAATTAAAAGTCATGATATAGTTTGTACTTATAGCTCCATCTCCACGTATTAATTATTTTATTTTATTATATTGTGTAAATAAATAAATTGATTCAATAGGATTAATAGGCTTTTTCTTTTAAATAAATATATACTTTTTTTTAAATGTCAAACCTAACCTTGTAATTAAATAGGGCAAATTAGGCCTTAGACTTTGTATATTCACCTCACTTGCAATGTGTGATTATAGAATTTGTCCAAATTAGCTATGAGCTTGAGGAGAATGTTTTTAACATAAAAATTTAAAAACAAAATGTTATTCCTTTAACTTTGGAATGTAGTCTTAAAATATACACATATATAAGAAATGGTATTTCGTCTGAAACAAATAGTTGAAAGGTGTTGCGAATTATAAAATATTAAAATAAATGGATATTTTGTTATATAAGTGTCACATTTTTGATGGGTTAAAGGATGTTTCAAATTCTTACTTTGATTAAAGCATTTCTTTCTCTCTCTCTCTATATATAAGAAATGTTATTTCTTCCGATACAAATGGCCAAAAGATGTTTCGAATTATAAAATATTGAATTAAATGAATATTTTATGATATAAGATTGACAAGTGTTAATAAATTGGAGGATGATTCAAACTCTTACTTTCAAAAGATATAACATCTCTCTTTCTCTCTTTCTCTCTCTCTCTATATTCAAATAATAGAATTATTTTAGACCTTCTTGTTGCCACGTCTAAATAAGAACAACATAGACATGTCTACAAACACAGAAACAACCTAACCTTAATAAATTTTCTATCGACGTTATCCTTGAGCTTTGATTTTTCATTTATTCTATCATAGTACCCGATTGCTACTGATTTTGAGTGCCATAGTGTGTTTTTTCAGAAAACTCTTCACCGATAACCACCACGACAATCTTAAAACTATAAAAAAAAGAATTTCTATAGAAGCTAATTGTAGAAATTTTAACTTAATAAAGAAGAATCTTAATTTAATTTATTTAATTATTTTCCTATAAATATTATAGAAAAATTAATCTAAACAAAACTTAATTTAGTTGCATGATCATCACTCTTAGTACCCACAGTCCAAAGAGCCATATACATAATTTCAATTTATAGATATAAGTTCCTTTGGTTATAGGAGTGATCAGAGGTCTGACTAAACTTATAAGCCTGACCAATCCGATATATGATGAAAAAAATAAAACTAGTTCAAGATCAGTTCAGTAAATACATGTCAAACTCGGTTAATACGGAGTCAATTATTAAATTGAACCTTTCTTCCCCATTCACCTGACCCAACTATTGGCATGAAACTGTTCACACTTCACAGTATGACATGAATGCAGTGTCTTAAATCTTCTTTCCAGACTACTTTGCCTTTATGTTTCAAAAAAAACAAATTAAGCTAAAATTACTAAGAAAAAGTATTCTACTCTGGTGAAACATAAAGCTACATGTAGGAGACAAAATACCTCGATCACACGGCATATGTTCTAGTCTTGCATACAATTTCTACATGATCACGCGACCCAATGAAGAACAGTTTTTCTCAGCTCAATAAAATTAAACTGAAGGTCACATATCAAGTTATACTTGCTTTAGTCTATACTCAATAAAGCAAATCATAACACTGCCTGCACCCAACTGTAAAGGAGAGCAGAAAATTTCTGGCTATTAGTTTGAGGGAACACAATAAAATTAGACAATCATTCACTTCCACCTGCAGGACCCACAAGAACTCCTTGAGCAGACCCTTCCTTCCTACCAGATTCATCCTTCACCTCAGCATCAGCCTTCCTTATCCTGATTTTATATTTAGTCTCAAACTCAGTAATTTCCTTTTTCTTCTTTTCCAATGCCTCGTTAAGCCTTGCAACAACTTCTTCAAGTCCCTCTTTATTTCGCTGCACAGCAGGCAATACCTCTTTGATGGTTCTCTCCACAAGCACTCCTCCGATCATTCGATAGCATCGTCTAGATTGGTCAAGTGGCTGAATGGCATTAATAACCAACGTGTGCTCACTAACTTCCATTTCCAGTTCAGTTATTTTGGAGTAAATTTGGTTGAGCTCAGACCTCATAGCAGCGTAGGTATTGGCAACTGCTTGTTCATTTATTGGTTCCTTGCGGTCACCTTCAGCTTTACTTGCCATGATTCTATGCAAATAGAAAATACACTATCCTCAACCTAAAGAAAGAAGAGTAATAAGAATAAACGGAAGTATACTAGAAAATATTTTTAGCTTTCTATTTCTTTTAATTCACAGTATAGACCATTTTTTACAGTACTCTCAATTCTATGAAGAGATATAGTCTAAGACGCAATAATATCAACATTCATATTTCAACAAGAATACAAAAGCAATAAACTTAATAAGCTTAGCCTATACTTATAAAATTCTATATAAGAATCTCAGACAGATAGAGTTCAACAATGAAAATTGTCTATTACCAAGTTTATGCAGTCAGCAATTTCATTTTACATGTAAACAAACTACCCACCAAGGTGTTGGAATTGGTCAAAAACAACAAATAAAGAAATGACGCACAGTTCTTTCGTAGAAAAAAAACAAGGAAATCAATAAAATTAAGGAAAATATAAAAATAGGAAAGCTAGGTGATTAGAGGAAGAGAACCTTTTCATTCTCCTATAAATACATGCTTAACGTTTTTCTTATGCATTCCAACATTGAGAGAAAAGAAAATATTTTTATTCTCTGGTTGTATTTGGGTAGTGAGGAGTGTTTGTAATTTCTCCTTTTATTATTAATATATTAGCAACAATTAGAAGAGCTCTATTATCTGTGTTATTATTCTGCATTTACATTGTTTCTCACGAATTTGATTATAAGAAATTTTGTGAAATTTTTTTTCAACAACGGGTAGCAGAGCCAGTTGTTATTATTATAATAAACGGTTAAAAGGGAGTCAGATTTGAGTGGGAGCAATGGCTACAGATGTAGGAAAGGTGAAAATTGATAAGTTTGATGGTGCGGACTTTGGCTTTTGGAAGATGCAGATAGAGGATTATTTGTATCAGAAAAAGCCGTATCAACCTCTCTCAGGAAGCAAACCAGAGGGCATGAAGGATGAAGACTAGGCTCTTCTTGAGAGATAAGCCCTCGGAATTATCCGATTGACGTTATCCAGCAACGTTGCATTCAACATTACAAAAGAAAAGACCACAACGGGTCTTATGGTGACTCTTTCTAACATTGGGCTCTTTATAATTTTTTTCATACATATTAGAAAGAGCCACCATAAGATCTCTTGTGGTCTTTTGCAATGTTGAATGCATCGTTGCAGGTTAACGTCAATTGGATAACTCCAAGGGCTTGTCTGTCAAGAAGAACCCAATCTTCATCCTTCATGCCTTCTGGTTTGCTTCTTGAGAGAGGTTGATATAGCTTTTTCTGATACAAATAATGATCTATTTGCACCTTTCAAAAGCCAAAGTCCGTACTATCAAACTTATCAATTTTTACCTTTCCTTCATCTACAACGTTGCATTCAACATTGCAAAAGAAAAGATCACAACGGGTCTTATGGTGACTCTTTCTAACATTGGGCTCTTTATAATTTTTTTCATACATAATAGAAAGAGCCACCATAAGATCTCTTGTGGTCTTTTGCAATGTTGAATGCATCGTTGCAGGTTAACGTCAATTGGATAACTCCAAGGGCTTGTCTGTCAAGAAGAACCCAATCTTCATCCTTCATGCCTTCTGGTTTGCTTCTTGAGAGAGGTTGATATAGCTTTTTCTGATACAAATAATGATCTATTTGCACCTTTCAAAAGCCAAAGTCCATACTATCAAACTTATCAATTTTTACCTTTCCTTCATCTACAACCATTGCTCCCACTCAAATCTAACTCCCTTTGAACTGTTTATTATAATAATAATAACAACCGGCTCTAATACCAATTGTTGAAAAAAAATTACGCAAAATTTCTTATAATCAGATTCGTGAGAAACAATATAAACGCGGAATAATAACACTGATAATAGAGCTCTTCTAATTGTTGCATATATATTAATAATAAAAGGAGAAAATATAAAGTGCTTACAAACACTCCTCACAACCCAAATACAATCGGAGAATAAAAATATTAATTCTCTAATATTTTCTCTTTCTCCTCTCTCTTTTTCTTTTCTCTCAAGGTTGGAATGCATAAGAAAAACGTAAAGCATGTATTAATAGGAGAATGAAAAGGTTCTCTTCCGCTAATCACTTAACTTTCCTATTTTTATGTTTTCCTTAATTTTATTGATTTCCTTGTTTTTCTCCATGAAAGAACTGCACTTCATTCCTTTATTTGTTTTTTTGATCAATTCCAACACAAGGAATGAACTTTGGAAGACAAATCTAACACAAACTAACATAATGAATGAAGAAGACAAGAAGGGAACACAATTTTTTAAGATTTTAACTAGCACACACACTCAAACACCATAAAAGCACACAGAACAGTTGAACAGATTTTAGAATAAAATATGGTTAGCTTGATGATATAAAGAAACATTCTCCATGCATTTATCATGATCCATTTGGCAATTTCTACCCTATGATCTATTATCCTGATTTTAGAACTTAGATGCAAAGGGAATGATTACATCAGTTAACACAATCAATTTTACCAAATTAAGAATGTACTCATTACTACAAAAGATCAGATAAAGGTGTCACAGGTTCTCAAGGACCATTTAGAGAACAAAGATGTAATGGCAGAATGCAGTGCCCGGACACCTTTAAAAACACCATCACGCATAGCTGCCTGTAGTGCAGCCAGAAGCCGATATAGCAGAGAAATGTGACAGCAGGCAAAGACTTCATAAATTTGTACAAAAACGGACATTAGAAAATCCTTGGAGTATTAAAAGTTTAAAACTTTTATTTTATACCATAAGAAAAAAAATGAGCCATAGGCCTGATCAAAGAGGAATAAAAAAACAGTGCAGGAATCAAACACACAATAGAAGAAGAACATGTCATGATAACTAAATTATAATGAACAAAGCAGTAAAATCTAAAAAACATTTACAAACAAACAAATCACATGACCCATGAACAAAAAGTGAGGTGGAAGATAACAACCTGCGTGTTTGGAACCACATTCCATCACCAGGTTATGACAAGTTTGACACAAAAGCCACACTGGGTAGCATTTACTTTGACATGCATGAGTGTTTGTGATGCAGTTCCAAACACACAGACAGTGATTTATGATCCCTAATTAGTTGCAGGGCATTGGATAAAGGTGGGTGAGGTTAAAACAGCAAATTTAACAACTTCAAAGAACATGATTCCATGAAAGTTGATACCAAAAGAGTAAAACAATTTTTTGTCACACAATTTTCATTAATCAGCAAGGCAGCGACCATTTAGTAGCTCAATCATTAATTCAACTTCAATAGCAGAGTTTTGACCTTCAAAAAATCATAGAAATCAACAAACCCCACAATAATATGCATAGAATTAGATTTAAATTGCGAAAATCAATATCCAATGAACTCAAAATCGCCAAACCCCAAAACCCCATAAGTTAGATTAGTTCCATCTACGCAATGCCTAGTCATCAGCGTGGAACCAAGATTAAACCTTTTTCACGAATCTGAACAAATTGTTTGTTAAATTAAAAGGTAAGTAAATAAAAAGAACTTACGAGTTATGAGATTGAAAAGGTTAGGTTCAGAATCGAAACGTCAAAACGCAGAAGGGGTCGTAGTTTTGCTCCAGTGAGAGTAGAATACGAGGATTGAGGAAAAGCTTTCTTCTTATTGTATCCGTTGCTTCTGTTTGTGTTTATACTTTATTGCAGTTGCTGTGCTAGGTTAAGGTTATGACGCAGCACCAACCTAGTCAATTTCATCAAACCATCTTAATCTACGGCCCAAAATTATTGGGCCCAATTCTTTACGAAAATATATATTATAAATTGAATTTATATTTATCTGTTTCTAAATAGTAAATACTAATAGTGGATAATTTAAAGAATAATTATTATTTTTCTATTATATATTATGCACGATATGATAAAAAAACTTGTTAAGTAAATAAATGCTAAGTTATATTGCCATTTTCATCTCCTTTTTTTTTTCTCCCTTAAATTTTATCGTTTTATTTTTTAATTCATAAAATGTATAATATTATATTTAATTATAGTAATTAAAATAATTGTAATAAATATTTCATATTAAAATTAATATCATCTGTATATGTTATTTTAAAAATTTCTCTAAATATTTTCATTTTTAAAATGTTTAATTTTTATTGATAAATTAAGTTACAATAATACAAACTATTATTTATATCTATATTAATAATAAATGACATATCTTTTGCTGTAAAATATTTTAAATTATTTTTCTGTTATAATTTCTAGTGAAAAAAATACTTTGTGTTTTATTGATATTGTGTGAAAAAAAATACTGTGTTTTTATTAAGAAGTAAAATAGTTTTGAATAAATAAAACAGTCAACTAAATATGTATAACAAAGAATCATTTTTATTAATAATAAATATAAATAATAATATATAAATGATATTTTTGTGTAAATAATTTTTAAAATGATTTTATGCTTTATTTATTATAATAGTTACACACTTTTTTTTTAGTGTAACATAGTTCAATAATTTATTTTACTAATTTTAAAAAAATTATTATTTATCCAAAACATGATAAACTAGGTTATAACTATAAAAAAAAAACTTCTTCGATAATAAACAACAGTCTATTATTTAATTTTATTAAATTTATTTTTATTTATTTTAAAAATAAACAAAACATGAAGTGATTTTTAAAGTTTGTAAAAAAATGTATTTAGCTTCAAAAATACACTTTGTGTGGGGTACCATTTGACCAAATAATAAATAAACATACATCATCGGCAGCAAAATATTTATAATTTTTCGCATATTATTCCCTCTTTCGTTCCCTAGTTCAATTTTGTTGGTCTCTCTCTCTCTCTGTTGCACTTGTGCACCTTGACCCTCTCTCTTGCAACCATGAACGCCTCCATCATTGGTTCGTTTCCTTCTTTTTCTCTTACTCTTTTCATTATCTCCATCTCGTCTTCCTTCTTCCATTTCTTTTCCTCTGCACATTTTTGTTTTTGTTTTTGTTTTTGTTTTTCTGATGCAGTGGTGTGCACCATAATGAAGATCCATTGCAGGGCGATTTCCCAGAAGTGATAGAAGAGTATTTGGAACATGGCTGTATGAAATGTATTGCCTTCAATCGCCGTGGCACCCTTCTTGCTGGTAACCTCTCTCTCTCTCTCTCTATTGTTTCGTTTCTTTCATAGTCAGCTGATGCTTTGGTCTTTTCTGGGTATTTTCTTTTAATTCATTTTCATTGTAATTTTTTGACTTCAGATTTTTTTAGCCCGTGTTTATGCTAATCATTTGGTTTTAGAAGATGGTTGTGGGTAAAATCTGTTTTTTATGTTTTTAAGGTCGATTTTAAGGTTCAAGTAGCGAACTTTAGTGACTAAATCCTCTTTTCCATGATGGCCCAGATAAGAAAAGTACATTATTTTTACTCAGATTGTATATGTAAATTTTTGTTTTTTTTTTTTTGTTTTTTAATTTTTTGTTTTTTTTTTTTTGGAAGTTTTGCTTATGGGGTTGATGTTGAATTTTGGGATTCTAGCTTCAAGGGTGCAGTCGCGTGTTTAATTTTTTGTGCCATGGCTTGGGTTTGTGTTGTTGGATTTGTGATGGTGAAATAGTAATGCGTATGCTATATGCATACATTTGCCTTACTGTGGTAATGGTGTAATACATGATGTGGTTAATGTTTACTTCACCATGATACTGGAATAAATTTGCGAGGCAGTAATAGGTAAGTGTGTGTGCATTTGGCCTTACTGTAGCCGCTCTGCTCTTGTCCTTCTTCCTCGCAGTTTTTGCATCTTTTGTTGGAGATTGTAAGCTGACTCTGTGTTCAAATAATGCTCAATAACAGGGTTGATAATTACATTGCCATTTTATATACAGTTTGATTTGTTCCATTGTTTTTCATGTTAATCCCTAAGCTTCATATAGAAAAAATAAGCTAACTTTCTATGCAAGCCCCGTTCAATGTTATGGTTTGTTGAATTTAGAGGAGGGAAAGCCAGAGAACATAATATTTTAAGAGAGAATTTAGGGAATAATTATTTTATTCTTGTAGAAATTTAGTACATAGGTTCTGCACAGCATCCCATTACATAGACTCTTGGTATACTTAGCGGAGACTATTCTCTAGGATTGTAATATGTGATACAACTTCGTAGACACTGTCACTAACACTCATGAAAAATAAATGCATTTTAGCATTTGATACGTGAACCACACATTTCTAACATAGTTGATGGTTAAGTGTCTATTTGTAATTGTTGCATGTTCTGTAAAGTCCATGGTATGATTGGTTCAACTTTACAGAACCAAAGTTGAATATGATTGCATTGAAGGTAATAAGCTGTGCATTTGTTACTTTGAGCTTTGGTTTATAAAGATAGGAAAGTTCTATCAAATTCTTACTGAACCGTCTATGATCTGTCTCTCATCTCAACATTTGTCCATGTTGGAGCAACTTCCGTGAAGTTTGTTTTATAGTATCCACTTTAGTTATGTACTGCGCTAAATCTGATGGCTATTCTATTTTGTTATTCCATAATTCCGTTTATCAGTTTGGACAAGCATGTTAAGTTTAAAAAAATTGAAAAAACATTCTAATTTGCTTTTATGTAGACAAATTTTTTTCCATTTGGGATTAGATTAAGATTTCTTTTGAATTTGTGGTACTTCATTTTCTGAAGCACAATCTTCTTTTTCGTGCTGAGTATTATTTGTATAAATGTGGGTTGAGTAAATATTGTAGCAAGTGTTGAACTAATATAAAATATTTATTGGACCAGCTGGATGCAATGATGGAAGTTGTGTTATTTGGGATTTCGAGACCAGAGGCATTGCTAAGGTGCTTCGTGATGATGAATGTTCTTCTCCCATAACTAGCATCTGTTGGTCAAAGTATGGCCATCGAATTCTCGTTTCTGCTGCTGATAAATCATTAATATTGTGGGATGTTATGAGTGGTAAGAAGATAACACGAATAGTTTTGCAACAAACCCCTCTACAAGCTCGTCTTCATCCAGGATCCTCAACCCCATCTATCTGCTTAGCATGTCCACTTTCATGTGCTCCAATCATTGTTGACCTGAACACAGGAAACACAACTTTGCTTAAAGTTTCTGTCTCGGAGACATGCAATGGGCCAGCCGCTCCTTCACGCAATAAGAGTTCTGATGGAATTACCTCCTACACACCAACTGCTGCTTGTTTTAATAAGTATGGGACTCTGGTTTATGTGGGAAACTCAAAAGGGGAAATTCTAGTCATTGATTACAAAAATGGTGAAGTGCGTGCCATAGTTCCAATATCTGGTGGTTCTGTTGTAAAGAACATTGTATTCAGCTAGAATGGACAGTATCTACTCACAAATTCAAATGATCGAATACTAAGGATCTATGAAAACCTTCTGCCCCTGAAAGATGAAGTCAGAGCCATTGATGACCTGAGTGAGCACCTCCACGATCTAAATAATATTGAGAAGTTGAAGGCTGTGGGATCCAAATAACATTGTATTCAGCAGGAATGGACAGTATCTACTCACAAATTCAAATGATCGAATACTAAGGATCTATGAAAACCTTCTGCCCCTGAAAGATGAAGTCAGAGCCATTGATGACCTGAGTGAGCACCTCCACGATCTAAATAATATTGAGAAGTTGAAGGCTGTGGGATCCAAATGTTTAATTTTATTCCGGGAATTTCAAGATTCCATCACAAAGGTACACTGGAAAGCACCTTGTTTCAGCGGTGATGGTGAGTGGGTAGTTGGTGGTTCTGCTAGCAAAGGAGAGCACAAGATTTACATATGGGATAGAGCTGGACATCTTGTGAAGATCCTTGAAGGACCAAAGGAAGCTCTTATAGATTTAGCATGGCATCCTGTACATCCTATTGTTGTATCGGTTTCCCTGAATGGCTTAGTTTATATATGGGCAAAAGATTATACTGAGAATTGGAGTGCATTTGCTCCTGATTTCAAGGAGCTTGAAGAAAATGAGGAGTATGTAGAACGTGAAGATGAATTTGATCTGATTCCTGAGACTGAGAAGGTAGAAGGTTATTTATTAGAGATTGGTCAGGACATCCTTTATTCTTTTCACTCATTCTTTTTTGATGTTATATGCTTGCAGGTGAAAGTACCCGATGTTAACGAAGACGAGGAAGTTGACATTATAGCAGTAGAGAAAGATGCCACTTTCAGTGATTCTGATATGTCTCAAGAAGAGCTATGTTTCTTGCCAGCAACCCCTACTCGCGATGCTCCTGAGCAGCAAGAGAAGGGTGTGGAAACTTCTTCGAAGTTGTTGGACACTAATAATACTGGATCCCCTCTTTCAGAAGAAGCTGGACCAAATGGACATATAACGAATCATGCATCAAGTCCTCTTGAAGGTAATAACATCTGTGCATTATATGCTTGTTGTTGTAGTTAAGTATGTGAATTCTTAAGAATAAAAAATTCCAATCCTCTCTCTTCCAATAAATAAAAGGTATAGAATCATGATCATGTAATTTTTCCAGCAAATTTATTTCATGGAATTGACTTTGGAATTTGCAACTCAACTTGATTAAGTCTATTACCAAAAGAAATGGGATTATGACATGTCTCTGTTATTTTGAATGGAGAGAAAATGAGGGGAGAGAAAAAAAATGGAATTTGAATTGAACAGAATGGAGGAGAGAAAATTTTGTTTCTTAAACTCAACCTTTCTTTCTGATTCTCTATTCATTTCCCCTTCTACCAAACAAAAAGGAAATTCATCATTATTTATGTATTTTTTTCTATCCTTTTCTGCTGTTTTTTTCTTAACCAAACATAGTGGAAATTCATTTGCTCTCGCTTCTTAATTACAATTCAGGACCAATTAACTTAGTGATTCTTTAGTCTCTAATTATGCTTCTATAAAGTTTCAAAGTCTCCCCAATTGTTTTTAGTGATCTGACTTAAAAGTTTCCCTTTTTATCCCCAGTGGGTGGTTGGGTTGTGAATGTATCTGTATTGTATATTGTATATTGTATATTGTGTATGCATTTTTCTCATATAGACCTGTAATGCTTAAGATGCCTAAATCATAATATTTTATTTTTCTAATTTTATGAAGATGATGCTGGGCGCATGAAAAGAAAGCGAAAACCTTCAGAGAAGGTGTTGGAATTGCAAGCAGAGAAAGTTAAGAAACCCTCAAAATCTAGCAAACTGGCAAAACCTAAGAGCAAATCTTTGGTTGATCAGGATAATGGTAATGGTTTTCATGGTGATGGCCTTTATGATGAATAATTGTAGATTATGAAATTCTTGTTTGCAAAAGCACACTTCTATTATAATTTTTTTTGTCCCTATTTTTTTTTTCTTTTCTAAACATTCTTTCCTTGCATAGCTTTATTTAAATTTAAACTTGCCTCCTCCCTCTTCATCCTTGACCTATGTTTCTAAGTTGGTGATGCTAGTGAAAGCTGGCGTGTCCTGTAATTCATATTTTTTGTGGCCATCTTCATCCTTGGTAATAGAGTTTTGTCTTGATAGGTTTTAGCTCATATGAATATGTTTGAATTGGCCAATGTTAACTTGTTGAACCATTGGTTTAGGCGTTTAGCAATACTAAATAATTTTCTCAACTAGTTGATCTAAAAGTAAATCATCTTATTAGTAACTTTACAACTAAAAAATATGCATGTGAAGGGCATCAAACGTTGCATATGTCAGTCTTGTTAGTTTTTGTTAAAAGAAAGAAACAAAGATCTCATTTTCTGAATATACTTAAGTGATAATTCCACCCAGCAGAATGAGTTTATTTATATACAAGAAAATTACAAAGATAATTAATGCCAAAACAATTTACAGGAGAACAATTAAGATACCACTACTTCCTATGATGCATTGAACCTAGCTATACCAAGTATCTAGGCAACGGGAAGGAGTTATGATATCCTAAAATCTTCCTATTTCCAACACTCCTCCTCAAGCTGGTTTCCATTCCCAGCTTGCATATAAGTCTTTCAAAATTTGAACTGCATAACCCTTTGGTAAGAATATTTGCAAGTTTATTTTGTTAAGAGACATATGGAGAACAAATCAAACTAGAATGAAGCTTTTCCTTGATAAAATGTCTGTCAACTTCAACGTGCTTTGTTCTATCAGGCTGAACAGGATTATGAGCTATGCTGCTAACCGACTTATTATCACAATAGAGTTTCATTGGCCCATCCCTTTTGATCTTCTAGTCATCTAAATTAATTTTCAACCAAAGTAACTCACAAATACCTTGTGCCAAAGCATGAAACTCAGCCTTAGCACTAGACCGAGCCACTAAATTTTGTTTTTTACTCCTCCAAGAAAGGTACAATATCTAGTAGTGCATCTTCTATCAGTCACTGAATTTACATAATCAGCATTCACCATCAATGTAAGCCTCAAGAAATGCATTTCCATTTCTTTTAATAAGATTCCTCTCCCCGAGCTTCCTTTTAGATACTGCAAAATTCTATGAGTGGCCTGTAAGTGAACTTCCTTTGGAGAGTGCATAAATTGACTAACTAAACTTCCAACAAATGCAATATCTGGCATTGTGTGAGACAAATAAATTAGTTTTCCAACCAAACCCTGACACATCTTATCCACTACCACACTATCATTTGCATTACCCAATTTTAGGTTTGAACCAATATGTGTACCTACAAGTTTACAAGCAGCCTTACCTGTCTCCTTGAGCAAATCTATGACATATTTTTGTTGACATTTGAAAATGCCTTCCTTCGATTGGGACACCTCAATTTCCAAAAAAAATATTTCATCTCCCAAGAGCTTTTATCTCAAACTCCATGGCTGGATGTTGACTTAATACTTGTCACTCCTTCCAATCATCACTGGTAATGATAATATCATCCACATACACTACTAATACAGTCACATGCCCTGAGGTTGAGTGTTTGATGAATAAAGTATGCTCTCCTTGACTTCATTTTGTATCCTAAGGCTAACATGACCTTGATAAATCTTGCAAACCATGCCTGTTGAAATTGTTTCAGCCCATACAAAGCCATCTTCAACCTGCAAACAAAATTGGTTGTAACTTCATATCCTGAGGGGACCTCCATATAGATTTCCTCCTCAAGCTCCCCATGTAAAAAAAAAGATTTTTCACATTAAATTGTTGTAATTCCCTGCCATAATTTGTAGCAAGAGACAATATTACTTGAACTGTATTAATCCTTGCAATTGGAGCAAAGTTTCCAAGTAATGTATCCCATAGGTTTGAGTGAAACCCTTAGCAACTAACCTTGCCTTGTATCTCCTAATTGACTCATCTGCATTATATTTCACAGTATATATCCATTAACAACCCACATTTTGTTCTTCTTCAATGCCTCCATTTCTATATTCATGGCCTGCTTCCAATTTTTATGCTTTACTTGGGGAAGCTAATATATTGTAAAATTGGAAAATCAGAATTTGTTACCTTATCTGAAGGAGTTGGATTGGTCTCTTGGGCATGTGTTCATTCAAGAATGTTCTTTGATCTTCTTGTGTAAACCAAATTTTTTCCAAGCCTTGTATCATTTTCAGGTCTAGTTGGAACATCTTTATTAGAATTCAACTAAAATTGATGCCTCTTTTTCAGGATGACAAGAATTTAACTCAAAAGTGGGAAAGACAAGTGTTTTCGAAAAAATCTCGTTATCTTTCATAAGACTCTCCCCTTGAAGATAAGGTTGAGAGAAATAATTTTGTTCCTCATGAAAGGTGACATCACAAGACACATTAAATTTCTTAGATGGAGGATCATAACACTTATATCCTTTTTTTTTAGTATAGGAATATCCAACAAAGACACTTTAGAGCCTTAGGATCAAGTTTTCCCCTGTCTTGACCATTCACATGGACAAAAGTGGCACTCCCAAAGATCTTTGGTGGAAGTTTACTAGAGGTTGACATGTTAGGATAGAAAGAGGAAAGTATGTCCATAGGACTCTAAAATCCCAAGATTCTAGAGGGGATTCGATAAGTCATATATGTTGTTGTGAGAACAGGCTCCCCCAAAAATATTTTTGGAACATTTTTTCCAAACAACAATGCTTGGGTTTGGTCTAAGAGGTGCCTATTTTTCTTTTTGCAATTCTATTTTGTTAAGGTGTTTGGAAACAAGAAGACTTATGAATTATTCCCTCCTTTTGGCAAAAAGGAGTTGACTTGATTAAAATACTCCTTTCCATTGTTTGACCTAAGTTTCTTTATGGACACACCAAATTTATTTTTAATCATTGAGGAAAAATTTGAAGACATTACCTACTTTAGATTTTTGTTTAAGTAAAAAAACCCAAGTGATTCAAGTTTAATCATCAATAAGAGTCACAAACCAACAAGCCCCTAATACATTTGGAATAGGAAATGGCCCCAAACATCATTATGAGCAAGATAAAAAGGAAATTAATTTTTCTTGTTACATGATGGAAAAGGGGACACACTTGTGTTTCTTGCACATTTGGAAATGAAGGTTGCCAAACAAGTTGCCACCTTGCCAAAAAAAGTCATTGGAAAAATTGATGGTGGCCAGAAAAGTCATTGGAAAGGTTGTCGGAAAGTCTGATAGCTTCAAGAGCTCAGTCAAACTTTCTAAACAAACTTGGTTTGCGGAAGCATAGCCCCCTTAGATTAGGAGCTCTTATACCATGTTAAAAGAAAGAACACAAAGATCTCATTTTCTGAATATGCATAAGTGATAATTCCACCTAGAAGAATGAGTTTATTGATATATGAGAGAATTACAAAGATAATTAATGCCAAAACAATTTACACGAGAACAATTAAGATACCACTACTTTCTATGATGCATTGAACCTAGCTAGACCAAGTATCCAGGCAACTTGGAAAAATAAACATTAAAGGAGTTATGATTTCCTAAAATCTTCCTATTTCCAATAGTTCTATACATTGAATGGCAATTGTTTGGAGCAACAAAGCTTTGTTCCGTTATTTGGCATGTATGTGTCACATGTAAATGACAACAAAGCCAACAATAAACATCTCTGTCCATTACTCTAGACTGATTTACTCCATTCTCATACAAATGCTTAACTTCCAACCCCATTCTTTGAGTTGGATCTTCTTGTGGGTGGACTGTTTGATAGGGTTCCAACTGATATGATAGAAAGATTTAAGAAAGATTGAACAAATTGAAAAGAATTTAGGCATGAGCCTTTCTGTATTATTGAGTAATCCTTGTGATCAAAACAACCAGAGAAATACAATGAGGTATTCGAGAGACCTCTACTCTCCTAACAACTTTCTAATAATTGCCTACCTCTACTAACTCCCTTCCGTTAACTGTTTAAAGACTATTTAGTTGCAATTGTGTACCCCCCTCCATGCCTTATGTACAACCTCTTAACCATTGGTCTCCTATCAGTGTTGAAGTAAAGGGGGGCAGTTTTTTAAGGTTAATGCAAAATCCATGCCCTTTTTGCTTTTGTGTTTATTGAAGCATGTGCAATGTTTTGTTTTGTGGTATTCTTTTTGTAAAACTGCACAACTGCATTATGCAGTATGTTTTTTTTTTCTTTTTAAACAATGATGTGTGCTCCATTTTTTTTTAACTTGTGGTCCTGTGTAAAAATGTTTAATGTTAAAGTATTGTTTAAAGGAACTTTGTTTTAATATACAGATAATGAAAGTTGTTGCAAGAGGGTTTGTCAAGGTAGTTGAAATTTTGCATAGGGGATTGTGGGATTGCATTACCCTATGATTTATCAACAGCAATCCTGTGCTGCATTTAAATTCATTTTTAGGTGATTTGTGGGTTTGCTTGGTATTGAGCTTAAAATCATCATAACTGGCTGATCTTATGGTGCCAAAAAAGGATCCTTTAATTGAGACCAACTCCTTGACCAACTTCATCAAAATCCTTTTTTTTGCTCATTTTGACCTCTCTGTGTCACTTCTCTACTTTTTGCTGTTCGGATTTGCATTCTATGTTCATCTTCTTCAATGTTATCAAATAACTGTTATGGCGCTGCCATAAAGGTATAACATGGCATTTTGAACCCCTCCACCATCTGTTATCCATTATTTCTTGTTATATGGTGGCATCAGCCATATTCACCATGGCACCCGCCATATTCACCATGACCATGGCTTCATGATGCTCTTGGTGGAACTTCTCCTTATCCTTTTTTTCTTTTTTTTTTTTTTTCTTTTTCTCGTCTTCTCCCTTACGAAGCTCCTAAGTTGCAAACAAACAACTACATTGAGCCTTCTTAGGCCACCAGACTCGCTGGCAACATGAACCATGGTGGCCTAAGCTCTAGAAAATTTTCTGGAAAACAAATCTAGTGGCCCGTAAGAGTTTTTTTGTTTTATATTTGTTTTTTCTTCTTCCTTCCATTTCTTTCTTTTTCATCTTTTTTTCATTTCTTTAGATGTTCCT